TGGGTTCGAATCCCGGCCGGACCAGGGCCTTTCTGAGTGGAGTTTGCATGTTCTCCCCGTGTCTGCGTAGGTTTCCTCCGGGTACTCCGGTTTCCCCTACCACTAAAAATATGTCCAATAGTTCTGGCATGCGCCTCCTGTACTGGCGACCCCGCTCCCATCTCTGTGTGGAGTGAGAGACAAGTGCCCAATATTAACAATTGTAAACCGCTTTGAGACTCAGATCTGCAGTGAAAAGGCGTGTATAAATACAAACTTACTTACTTACTTACTTACTAGAGAGCGACTAGAGAGAGACCAGAGAGACTAGAGAGAGACTAGAGAGAGACTAGAGAGACTAGAGAGACCAGAGAGACCAGAGAGAGACTAGAGAGAGACCAGAGAGAGACTAGAGAGAGACTAGAGAGAGACTAGAGAGCGACTAGAGAGCGACTAGAGAGACCAGAGAGACCAGAGAGACCAGAGAGACCAGAGAGAGACCAGAGAGAGACTAGAGAGAGACTAGAGAGAGACTAGAGAGAGACCAGAGAGAGACTAGAGGGAGACTAGAGAGACCAGAGAGACCAGAGAGACCAGAGAGAGACCAGAGAGAGACTAGAGAGAGACTAGAGAGAGACTAGAGAGAGACCAGAGAGAGACCAGAGAGAGACCAGAGAGCGACTAGAGAGAGACCAGAGAGACCAGAGAGACCAGAGAGAGACCAGAGAGAGACCAGAGAGAGACCAGAGAGAGACCAGAGAGAGACCAGAGAGAGACCAGAGAGAGACCAGAGAGAGACTAGAGAGAGACTAGAGAGAGACCAGAGAGACTAGAGAGAGACTAGAGGGAGACTAGAGAGACCAGAGAGACCAGAGAGACCAGAGAGAGACCAGAGAGAGACCAGAGAGAGACTAGAGAGAGACTAGAGAGAGACTAGAGAGAGACTAGAGAGAGACCAGAGAGAGACCAGAGAGAGACCAGAGAGCGACTAGAGAGAGACCAGAGAGACCAGAGAGACCAGAGAGACCAGAGAGACCAGAGAGACCAGAGAGAGACCAGAGAGAGACCAGAGAGAGACTAGAGAGAGACCAGAGAGAGACCAGAGAGAGTGAGAGTAACGCAGATGCAGCAGAGAGAGACCAGAGAGAGACCAGAGAGAGACCAGAGAGAGACCAGAGAGAGACCACTTACCTTTGTGAGTCAGCCTTTTCTGACATGAATGTTATTAAGTCAAAGTTCAGGACGAGACTTTCTGATGAACATTTAACTGCTTGTATCCGTGTCAACTTAAGTGGCTACACTCCACATTACACTTCGCTTGTTTCTTCAATGCAGTGTCAGGCATCTCACTAAATATGTGTACTGTGTCAATGAGTGTGTGTGTGTGTGTGTGTGTGTGTGTGCGTGTGTGTGCATAGTTAACAAAATAAAAATGTCATAGAATGGCATTTAAAAATATATTTTTTGTTCAAACTTGCTCTTTTATGATGCAAAATGTAATAAAATGTTCAGGTAATATACATTTATATTTTCATTTTGGATGAATAAGCTTTGAAATAAATGTTGCGAAACATGAGTAGCTCTCTGCTGTTTTGCTCTTCTAAAAGTAGCTCACTGTAGGAAAAAGGTTGGAGACCCCTGGTTCAGACGTTCTCTGGGTGATGCTTGTGGGTTATATTTGGGTTATATTTGGTTTAATCTAGGGCTGATGTAATCTTCTGCAAGCGATTGTTGAGCTGCTTCATGGTTTTGTTTTAAAGTCCAGAATGTAAGTTAAGGACAGGGTCGTCTCTTTCATGTTAGGTTTCAAGTCTGTTGGATGTTCGTTGGTGAAACCTTGAGCCTGGATCTTTAGGACTGTATTTATTGAATGTTTTAGACAATGTTTTGCAACAATTGTAGACATCTCTTAATGAATTCAAGCAAGGATTGAATTGAATTGAATTGAATTGAATTGAATTGAATTGAGTAGGAGGTAAATGTCGTGCCTTGATCTGTAGGACTTAAATATTGAGTAAATGTTTTGGGCAAATTCCTGACTTTGTGGTAAGAAAAAAAATCCCAATTGTAGTAATATCTCATTGAAAACAAGCCAGGACTACAGTTGGAAAGTTCCCTGGGGCTCAATCTGGTGCTGCCATCTTTTAATATAATTGTCTTTAATAAAATAAGCCCCAAATGTGTCTGATTACTTAACACTAGAACTCCCAGAGCAGTCATTTTGACGGCTTTTAGTTTTTAAGTGTAAACCCTCAGCGTATGTTCAGAGTGGTCTTCATAACTTTTAACCTTCTGTTTCTGTAGTTATTGGTTTCACTGTCATTATTTGCTTCATGAAATGTCTGTGTTTTTAAATTGCTCTTGTCTCTGAATTGCCTACGAGTAAATGATTGATTGATTGATGAAATTACCGTTTATTTTGACGAATTGTAGCCATTTTCAGTCGCTTGGCAACCAACATTCCATGGCAGTTAAAGCCATTTTTCTCCAAGGTCCCGGAGTGGTCCTGGTCCCGGGCTGGTCCTGGTCCCGGATTGGTCCTGGTCCAGGACTGGTTCTGGTCCCGGATTGGTCCTGGTCCCGGATTGGTCCTGGTCCAGGACTGGTTCTGGCCCCGGATTGGTCCTGGTCCCGGACTGGTCCTGGTCCCGGATTGGTCCTGGTCCAGGACTGGTTCTGGCCTGATTTAGCTTCGTAGCAGAGAGAAGCCAGTGCTAGTTACTGTGGCAGTTGGTCGCCTATTGCACTAAAAAACACAGTACTTTATACTTGCTTCTTATTTTGCTAAATATAGAGATTTTATACTTGTTTATTTTTGATGATTGTTAGAAATTGTTTTTTATTTTATTTAGTAAAGAGTTATTGTTCATTTTACTTGTGCAACACTGAAATTTCCCCACTGTGGGACCAACAAAGGATCTCTAAATCTCAATCTTTAAAGACACGTTTAGCTGTTTTTCAGTTCGATTCCCCAGTTTTAGCACTTGTTAAAATTGACTTAAGATACAAAATAAATTACAACTGGTGGAAAACTAACACTTTTTGGGGGGATTTCTTTTCTGAATGTGAGTCTTGATAACTTCTCTGAGAGTTCTCGTGTTAAATCAGTGACATTTTTATAAATCTATCATCGAGAAAAAACACTTAATCAAAAACCTGAATTGTTGTTATTTCAATAATTTGCCGGCATTCACGACACATTCTGCCGAAGGCCTGACACACAACACTTCACACAACACTTCAACAGAAAGCTTTATAATCTGCTTTTATCCACTTTGTCTCTTGCCTCGCACTCTGCCCTGCTCACCGCTCATTTAACCCTTCGTACGCTGACCACATCTCACCGCCGTCCTTTCAAAGCCGCCTACACATTCGTCTCTCGGTCTCCCATACGTTCCCACATTCATTACCATTATTCATAAGAGGGTCTTTCAATCACAGCTCTCTCTGATGCCTATACGTCCAATTCCTCATCTCTCTTTGCTCCAATATGAAGATATGTCATAATAATAATAATAACAATACATTGGACATATACAGCACTTGAGTGTCCAAATACGCTTTAACATTGAAGAACAAAATGAAGGAAAGGCTGAAAGAGATGGGTTTGGAGAAGTGATTTAAAGTTGTGTAGTGAGTAGGAGCTTCTGATTGGTTGAGGGAGTGAGTTCCAGAGTGTGTGGGCAGCTGCGGTGAAGGCTCGGTCCCCCAAGGTTCAGTGCTTGGTCCGGAGGTGTTTAGTGACAAGCTCGGGGTCTGTGGATCTGAGGTTAGTGAGGTAAGAAGGAGCAGGTTATGTGAGAAAGAGGAGGACCTCGGACTGGATGCGGTATGGAGCAGGAGCCAGAGGAGTTGCTTGAGGACAGGGGTGATGTGGTCTCTGGAGCGGGTGTGGGCAGAGTTCTGGATGTATTGTAGTTTTTGGAGATGTGTGGAAGGGAGACCGTAGAAGAGGCTGTTGCAGTAGTCAATTCTGGAGGTGATGAAGGCGGTGGAATGGATATTTGATGCTGTTAATGACGCTTAAGTTAAAGAATGTGGTCATTGTCTACTTTTTGTTTGTTTTAAGTTGCACAACTGTAAAGTCAATATTCACGATGTATGTATGTATTTCTGTAAAATGACATGGACAAATAATTAAATACATAATTCACTTTTATACTCTCCGGGAGGCGCTTGAGAGAGGATTAGTCCCAGCTATGGTTAACGAAGAAAGAAACTGACCTTGTATTTTAAATGAAAAATACTAGACGAGAGTGTGCAGGGGTGTGTATGGTTTGTATAACTAGGAACAGAAAAAATACTAGCCTCAAGCTCCATGGTCTCTGGTGGAAAACCCGAGCCGAGAGAGGGATAACTCCAGTATATACAGTATATTCAAGCCATAAGTGAATTCATTAACATTTATGAGCATGGATTCAAGATGCGGCTTTCCCATATTTATATTTAAAGTAATTTACAGACGTCTAACTCGAGTTTTTTCTCTCAAACCTTGAAGGAACAAACAGGTGCAGGCCTACAGTACATTCATACTTTTCCCCATTAAAAAAAGGATTGAGTAAGCATAAATAAAAAACATGCTTCATTACTGTCATCAGGTTTACATTCATACAAACTGTTCTCTGTGTTAAATGACCTTAAAGAGACAGTGCAGGCGAATGGACAAGACTATACTAAGATATTGTACATATTTATCTTGCTGTCTCATTACTTACAGATCTAACAAGACTTTAACATTAGATAATACATATTTTACTGCTTGTTAAATGTCTTGTTCATTTGTATTTTCAGCAGTGACTTTTATTCTCTCGTTTGTCATTGACTCAAACACTTGTTCAGGCCGTTTTATTTGCCATCGCTCTTCCCCTGACGGCTGTGAACACTGATGTGTCCACGGCCTCTGCACTGTCCATTGTGTTTATTTATGTGGCTGTTGGCCTGTGACATTGCCCCGGGGCACGTTCAGACAGCACGGCGCCCCCATCAGAGCACTGTCAGAAGTGCAGCACTGAGGACTGGACTCACGGACAGACGGAGAAGGTCAAAGCTACAGCATCGTTCACGGTGTACATGTGTCCACGAGCAGCTGTGTGACTGTGGGAGAACTGCAGCCAAAGGAGAAACAAACAGTTATATAAAAACATTTGAGAATACATTGTTTAATAAATATAATAATAATGATAGTTGGTTTTATAAAGTGATTTTTTGGACACTCAAAGATGCATTATTCACATAGACCTTAAATACTGTATTAAAGACGTAGTCACACCTATCTAAGTCGTTCTAACTAATGTGCCACAACCTCTGCGGTCTGTGGGCAGTTTCAAAATGGCCGCAGGGGCTGGAAAATGTGAAAAAACGCATCTGTGCATGCATCAGCTGCACGAGCTCCATTCATTTGAACGAGAGACTTCTAAAGTCCACAGCGACTAAACTAGACTGGTCCAGAACACTCAGCATTGACACACATGTGGAACAGAGCTTTGGGCCAAGAGACAACTTTTGGACCATTCTGTAAAGACTGTTTCCAGAGGTAAGAAGATGCTATATGTTAGCATTGGCTAATTCTTATTCCGGGTCCACCCCCACAGGCCCGGGGTGGTACTGCAGCATGTCATTTTGGACACTTTTGAGCCGGGACCCGCCCACACTGGTTTTTCATTCACTCCACTCACCAGGGGTGGCAAACCCGAGGATCACGAGGCGCATGAGGCTCTCGGCCAATCAGAAGGCAGTTCTTTGTCTCATCAAGTTTGAAAATATATTTTTTTTAATTAATAATATTCTTCAGAATGCCATCCCTTCCCCCGTTTTCCCTTCAGAGCCTTTCACATAGTTGTTATTGCACCGTTTTCATGTTATGCAACCGCAGAGACACACCATCACCTCTGACAAAGCTTCTTCTTCTACACTCTTGTCTTGACGTTGTACACATAAAAAACACATTTTTTTCGGCCCTCCGGCACATTTTGTGCCGGAGGGCCGAACGGAAGTGGCGAAAGTCCAATTTCCAGGGCGATTATGAAATCTTTAAAGATGAGTTGGGTGAATTTAACCGAATTTAAGAACAAGAGAAATGTATTTTTCTGACATTATTGGAGGTTGCAGTAACAATTTTCGTGTTATGTTTTCAACAGTTGGTAGATTAACGAACCCCCCTGTAAAGTTGCCCCTAGAATTTTCCTCTAAATCTAGGTGTAATGAGTTCGCACAGTTTTTCGATGACAAAGTACAAGGAATCAAAAACACTATCACCTCCACAGCACGTATAACAATGCAACAGCCAGAGAAGCTTTTTGAGCTAACTCACTTTGCACCTGTGGATACTGAAACTGTCAAAAAGATAATCATGAGTCTGAGCTCCTCCACATGTAGCCTGGATATATTGCCCTCTAAATTTCTGAAGTCCGTCCTGAGCAGTTTGTTACCTTCACTGACACAAATAGTAAACATGTCTCTGTCGTCAGGAACATTTCCTATGGCCCTAAAAACAGCAGTCATAAGACCTCTCCTAAAAAAGAGCAGTCTGGATCCTGCGGGACTTCAAAATTATCGCCCCATATCGAATCTGCCATTCATTGGAAAAATTCTTGAAAAAGTGGCCTCCCAACAACTTACTGAATTTTTAACAATGAATAATTCTTTTGATATGTTCCAGTCTGGGTTTAGACCCCACCACAGCACTGAGACCGCTCTAGTGAAGGTAACAAACGACATTCGACTTCACACTGATGCAGGTAAAGTCACAGTTTTGGTCATGTTAGATCTTAGTGCCGCGTTCGACACTGTCGACCATGAGATCCTCATGCAGAGACTGGAGGACTGGGTTGGTGTCACTGGCACAGCCCTAGACTGGTTTAGGTCTTACCTGGAGGATAGGAAGTACTTTGTGGAGATTGGAGACTGCGTCTCAGATCATGTGGCCCTGACCTGTGGAGTACCACAGGGGTCGATCCTGGGACCTCTCCTATTTAATCTCTACATGCTGCCGTTAGGTCAGTTAATACAAAGAAACAAAGTGTCCTACCACAATTACGCCGACGACACTCAGATCTATGTCTCACTGACTGCAGGAGAACATGGACCACTGGATTTGCTCCTTCACTGTATCCAACAGATCAGTGAGTGGATGCAAAATAATTTCCTCCAGCTAAATGCAGACAAAACCGAAATCATTGTCTTTGGTCCCCAGAAACAAAGAGAGGGCGTCATCTGTCAACTTCAGTCTCTCTCCCTACTTCCTTCAGACAAGGTCAGAAATTTGGGGGTAATACTGGACTCAGACCTAAATTTCAATAGCCACATAAAATCAATAACATCAACAGCTTTTTACCATCTGAAGAACATTGCCAAAGTCAGAAATATAGTGTCCAGGGCAGACTTGGAGATTCTTATCCATGCATTTGTCTCCAGCAGGCTAGACTACTGCAATGGCCTGCTTACAGGTCTGTCCAAACAGACCTGTAAGCAGCTGCAGTACATCCAAAATGCAGCAGCTAGAGTCCTGACAGGAACCAGGAAGTATGACCATATTAGTCCGGTCCTCAGGTCTCTGCACTGGCTTCCTGTGGCTCAAAGAATAGATTTTAAAACAGCTCTGCTTGTGTACAAGTCTCTCCATGGCCTTGCACCAGAATACATTAGTGACATGTTGGTGTCATATGAACCAGCCCGGACTCTGAGGAGCACAGGGACTGGCCTCCTGCTGGTGCCCAGAGTGAGAACCAAACATGGGGAGGCTGCGTTTCAGATCTATGCAGCTAAGATCTGGAACAATCTCCCTGAAAATGTGAGGGAGGCGTCTACTCTGTCAATGTTCAAATCCAGGTTAAAGACTGTTCTGTTTGCCTGTGCATATAACTGAAGGATTTTATCTCCATTTGTAATGCACTGCTGTCATTTATTTATTTATTTTTTAAATTTCTTGTGTAACTTTGAAAGTGTTAATGGTTTTATTCTTTTGTGTGATTTTATTGTTTTTATTGTGTTTTAATCTTTTGTGTGATTTTAATGTTTTAATTGTGATTCTGGTGTTTGTTTTATGTGATGATTTGTGATGTGGACTGTGAAGCGCTTTGTGTTGCCCTGTGCATGAAAGGCGCTCTACAAATAAACTTTGATTGATTGATTGATTTTTTAATTTTTGTATTTTCATTCTAATTTGCCCATAACCCATCCATTCCACTTCTAAGTTTAAGTGTATTGTTTATTTGGTTGGGACAGTGCATTTTAACGACCACAACCACTCAGGATTATAGCATTGGGCTAGTTTCATCTGTCCTCATTCCCCCAGAACTTTTGTACCGGTTTTTACTGGTCTATGTCTTTGTGCTGCTGGTGTTTGGGGCTAAATGCTCTTTTTCATCCATGGTTACAGTTTGGGTCAATCCATTTAAAACAAAAAGCTGTCTCAAAGTCTCCCAACAACCTGACAACAGACCTGCAGTCCAGCGTTATCACAGAGACTGAAAAAAGCAGCCTGCTCTGAAGCAAGTTTAATAACCCAAACATTGAACCAACTTTGATTCATTTTCAGCATCATTTAGGAGAAAGCATCTGCATTCCTGGTTCGCGTCCCACTTTCTGGTTCTGCACCTGTGAACTAATGCGGGTTAATGGCGACGGCACCTTCGGCAATTCCCCTGAAAATCACCACAAATCTGCTTCCCGTAAATTCCCTTTCAAATTAGCTGAAAATGAAAGTAAAGTATTGGCCGGTGACAGAGAGCGCCGTGGAGCATGCAATTTTAATGGCTCCGGTGAAAGTGGTCCCGGCTGAGGAGGGGATCGCTTACAGGGCCCTGAAAGTTTGATGTGGCGTTTGAAAGTGTCGACTTGGGTTTGGTGCTCGGTGTGACGTGCATCAGCTGTGTTACCCCCGTGTCACGTTCTCGAATGTGAAAACCGGTCTCTCTCTGGTCTCTCTCTGGTCTCTCTCTGATCTCTCTCTGGTCTCTTTCTGGTCTCTCTCTGGTCTCTCTCTCTGGTCTCTCTGGTCTCTCTCTCTCTCTCTGGTCTCTTTCTGGTTTCTCTTTGGTCTCTCTCTCTGGTCTCTCTCTGGTCTCTCTCTCTGGTCTCTCTCTCTGGTCTCTCTCTGGTCTCTCTCTGGTCTCTCTCTCTGGTCTCTCTCGCTGGTCTCTCTCTGGTCTCTCTCTGGTCTCTCTCTGGTCTCCCTCTGGTCTCTCTCTAGTCTCTCTCTGGTCTCTCTCTGGTCTCCCTCTGGTCTCTCTCTAGTCTCTCTCTGGTCTCTCTCTGGTCTCTCTCTGGTCTCCCTCTGGTCTCTCTCTAGTCTCTCTCTGGTCTCTCTCTGGTCTCTCTCTGGTCTCTCTCTGGTCTCCCTCTGGTCTCTCTCTGGTCTCTCTCGCTGGTCTCTCTCTGGTCTCTCTCTGGTCTCCCTCTGGTCTCTCTCTGGTCTCTCTCGCTGGTCTCTCTCTGGTTTCTCTCTGGTCTCTCTCTGGTCCTTGGGCAAGACACTTCCCCCACATTAGAATGAGTCTGGTGTGTGTGAATGGTTGGTGGTGGTGGGAGGGGCCAATGGCACACACTGTGTTTTGAGTGACCACTCCCACTTATGACTGCTGTCGTTGTGTCCTTGGGCAAGACACTTAACCCCACTTTGCCTGAAGCCCCCGCTGAAAGATCTCAGCTCCTGTGGACTCAGCCCCTGCAGGAGGATCAGTGAGGGGCTGGTGCTCTGACTGCCACCCCCCCGACCCAGAAATGGATTAAGGGGAAGATGATGGATGGATGGATGTTTTGAGTGACAGAATAATGCTTTGTGAAGGGTCATGAAAAGTATAATATTAACAATATAGATTAGTTTAAAAACAAATATAATGTTAATAATGACACATAACTAACAATTAGAAAAAAACTCGTTAAACTTTATCAGTTTTTTGGTTGTTTTTGTAAAGATGGATGACTGGGAAACGCACGGCTCTGCACAGAGAAAATCACAAACAACAATATCGACTCTCAAGACGGAAGTTTGTTGTTACTCACGGAAATCATTACTGGCAATAGAGATAAAAATAAAATCCACTTTGGAATTTAACCAAAATTAAAAATATCTCTTGCCTGAAAAGTTGAAAATCGAATACTTTTGAGATCGTGAGCAGGGTCTGAGCGGAGTCTGAGCAGAGTCTGAGCAGAGTCTGAGCAGAGTCTGAGCAGAGTCTGAGCAGAGTCTGAGCAGAGTCTGAGCAGAGTCTGAGCAGGGTCTGAGCAGAGTCTGAGCAGAGTCTGAGCAGAGTCTGAGCAGAGTCTGAGCAGAGTCTGAGCAGAGTCTGAGCAGAGTCTGAGCAGGGTCTGAGCAGAGTCTGAGCAGAGTCTGAGCAGAGTCTGAGCAGAGTCTGAGCAGAGTCTGAGCAGAGGCTGAGCAGAGGCTGAGCAGAGTCTGAGCAGGGTCTGAGCAGAGTCTGAGCAGGGTCTGAGCAGAGTCTGAGCAGAGTCTGAGCAGAGTCTGAGCAGAGTCTGAGCAGAGTCTGAGCAGAGTCTGAGCAGGGTCTGAGCAGAGTCTGAGCAGAGTCTGAGCAGGGTCTGAGCAGGGTCTGAGCAGATAGAGCCGAGTGAAGCTGAAGAAAATGTACCATTGCTGTTCCACGCCATCTGCAGCGTCTCACAAATGCTTTTGGGAAACGCTTTGATCCTTGTGCAAAAGAAACCAGTTTTATTCAACTTAAAAATGTGGAGAAAAACAGCTATAATGCAGAGAATATGGCAATTTACTGGAAAAAACACAACGTCGTATTGAAAGCTTTATTTTCACTTTAACAGAAGAAAATAAATCACAGAATCTGTTTTTGTGGCGCTTCCATTTTGTTACTTACGTGGCAATAAAAATGATTCTGATTCTTCTGATTCTGATTTTAAGATAAGGACCTGAAACAGTGGATTATAGACTATTCTTCATCTTTCTGATTCATATTAAAGGAGTAATATGTAAAAATCTGGCCAAAACTGGTACATTGGGAAATCTTGTTTTAACACAATCGGAATGTAAGAAAAAAAACACTCGATTCAAACAATTATGACCTGTTTTGTAATTTTTTGCAGTGTAATGAATGCAGACACTCGAGGTCGCCTCACACAGGGTAGAAAGCTTATTATTTAATGCACTGTTATTATTTATTATTTTAAATCCTTGTGCGATTTCAATGTTTTAATTGTTTTTTATGACATGTGTGATTTTAATTGTGTTTTTAATCAATCAATCAAAGTTTATTTGTAGAGCGCCTTTCATACACACAGGCCAACACAAAGCGCTTCACAGTCCACACCAGATTCACAATTAAAACATTACAATCACACAAGAAATTAAAAAATATATAAATGAATAACCACAGGGCGTTAAAGATAGAGATAAAATCCTTCAGTTGTATTCACAGGCAAACAGAACAGTCCTGGATTTGAACATTGTCAGAGTAGACGCCTGTCTCACATTTTCAGGGAGACTGCTCCAGAGTTTAGCTGCATGAATCTACCTGTGAAGTCAAAGTTCTGCTTTCCAAAACCTGTGACATGTTTTTATTATTTAACGATTGATATTTGTGTTTGTAGGTTTTGTGCAGGTTCCGAATTAAATAACTAACTAACCAACTAAGGCGGATCCATATATAAGTCCTATAACTCCAAAGTATTGTTAGTAAGGATTTGCTACACACAGGAGATACGAGCCCATGCTGTCTGATATCAGCACAAACACAACTCCAGGGGGCGACACTTGGACATCAGGTGTTGTTTAAAGCCGGTTGTGTAGCTCGCCTGTGGTTGTGTTTCCTCCGGAGAGACCGCTGCAGCTGTGACTGTTGTCGTGTGGTCTGACAAGCTCCAACAGATGGAACACAACAAGCCAAACCTCGGCCTCGTCACATGTGTCGTTGTGAGGAACATGTGTCATCAACTTGTCAGAGCTTTTCACACACACAGACACACACACACACACACACACACACACACACAGATGCAGACAGGGGGATGTCGCTGTGAAGGGACCACGTTGTTATGGAGCTGGAGAGAACTTTGCGTAGAGAATGAGAATGGATTGGAGCTTCCACAGATGCAGTACGAGTTTGAAAAGATACGATATGTATTTGTCTCACAGTGAGGAAATGTCAGTGTTGTATCGCACGCACAGGACAGTTCAATCTGTAAAGACAACAGACAAAACATGGTATTATTAGAATTGTTTGTGTTTGGCAGTAATCTGACTCTACATCAATGACACATGGCTCTGAGGATGATATTTTCAAGATTGCATTTATTGTACTGTACAGATTTATGTTTAGGATTTGGCCTTTGACCCTGGCGGTGGGAGCTCGGAGAAGGATGAGCTGGTCCAGAACGAGGCGGAGACGGGGAGGAGGAGGTTTGCAGCGTGAACGAAGCGGCTGCTGGGATGGAGCTTCCGCATGATATGAAGCTGATGTGTGTAGTGCCTGATTGCTGCCAGGAGAGGGCAGTGTGGCGCTGCAGCTGAGTGTGATTGACGGATTGACAACAGTGGGAGGACTTTGAGCGCTGTGAGCTTAGTTCTTTCTGTCTTTGAGCCCGAACCTCCGCTTTAGCTTCATCAGTAAGAGAACAGTATATTTAACCTGGGTTTGAACAATGTCAGAGAAGAAGCCTGTCTCACATTTTCAGGAAGACTGTTACAGATTTGAGCTGCACGAATCTGAAAAGCCACATCCCCATGTTTAGTCCAGATTTTGGAGACCAGCAGGAGGCCAGTCCCTGTGCTCCTCAGAGTCCCAGCAGGAGGCCAGTCCCTGTGCTCCTCAGAGTCCCAGCAGGAGGCCAGTCCCTGTGCTCCTCAGAGTCCCAGCAGGAGTCCAGTCCCTGTGCTCCTCAGAGTCCCAGCAGGAGGCCAGTCCCTGTGCTCCTCAGAGTCACCAGCAGGAGGCCAGTCCCTGTGCTCCTCAAAGTCCCAGCAGGAGGCCAGTCCCTGTGCTCCTCAGAGTCCCAGCAGGAGGCCAGTCCTTGTGCTCCTCAGAGTCCCAGCAGGAGGCCAGTCCCTGTGCTCCTCAGAGTCCCAACAGGAGGCCAGTCCCTGTGCTCCTCAGAGTCCCAGCAGGAGGCCAGTCCTTGTGCTCCTCAGAGTCCCAGCAGGAGGCCAGTCCCTGTGCTCCTCAGAGTCCCAGCAGGAGGCCAGTCCCTGTGCTCCTCAGTAAACCGTGTTATAGATTGTCTTTTTAATAATGTTCTTATGAAGTTGGTTTGATTCGAAGCTGCCCTGAACAAAGTGGCCCTCTGTGAACACGACAGCAGCTGATTGTCGATGCATTTTTGATAAAGTCACAGGAACAGCAGACTGAGAGACTGGGATCAGGACATCGCACCACAAACTTCTGACACTTCTCAAATTATATGCACCGTCAAAAGTGTGTTGTTTGTTATCGTCAAGAGGAAAACAGGGACCCAGACTTTACTTTAGAGACTGAAGTCGTGATCCTGACCCAAACTTAACCTGTACTAGCCTGGTCTTACCATGTGTAAACTCTGGTCTTACCATGTGTAAACTCTGGTCCATGATCATTTCCTACATGTACGTCTGGTCTTACCATGTGTAAACTCTGGTCCATGGTCATTTCCTACATGTACGTCTGGTCTTACCATGTGTAAACTCTGGTCCATGATCATTTCCTACATGTACGTCTGGTCTTACCATGTGTAAACTCTGGTCCATGATCATCTCCTACATGTACGTCTGGTCTTACCATGTGTAAACTCTGGTCCATGATCATTTCCTACATGTACGTCTGGTCTTACCATGTGTAAACTCTGGTCCATGATCATCTCCTACATGTACGTCTGGTCTTACCATGTGTAAACTCTGGTCCATGATCATTTCCTACATGTACGTCTGGTCTTACCATGTGTAAACTCTGGTCCATGATCATCTCCTACATGTACGTCTGGTCTTACCATGTGTAAACTCTGGTCCATGATCATTTCCTACATGTACGTCTGGTCTTACCATGTGTAAACTCTGGTCCATGATCATCTCCTACATGTACGTCTGGGTCTTACCATGTGTAAACTCTGGTCCATGATCATCTCCTACATGTACGTCTGGTCTTACCATGTGTAAACTCTGGTCCATGATCATCTCCTACATGTACGTCTGGTCTTACCATGTGTAAACTCTGGTCCATGATCATCTCCTACATGTACGTCTGGTCTTACCATGTGTAAACTCTGGTCCATGATCATCTCCTACATGTACGTCTGGTCTTACCATGTGTAAACTCTGGTCCATGATCATCTCCTACATGTACGTCTGGTCTTACCATGTGTAAACTCTGGTCCATGGTCATCTCCTACATGTACGTCTGGTCTTACCATGTGTAAACTCTGGTCCATGATCATTTCCTACATGTACGTCTGGTCTTACCATGTGTAAACTCTGGTCCATGGTCATCTCCTACATGTACGTCTGGTCTTACCATGTGTAAACTCTGGTCCATGATCATTTCCTACATGTACGTCTGGTCTTACCATGTGTAAACTCTGGTCCATGGTCATTTCCTACATGTACGTCTGGTCTTACCATGTGTAAACTCTGGTCCATGATCATGTCCTACATGTACGTCTGGTCTTACCATGTGTAAACTCTGGTCCATGGTCATCTCCTACATGTACGTCTGGTCTTACCATGTGTAAACTCTGGTCCATGGTCATCTCCTACATGTACGTCTGGTCTTACCATGTGTAAACTCTGGTCCATGATCATTTCCTACATGTACGTCTGGGTCTGATCCTAGTGGCTGCAGTTTCCTCGGTTGAATCCCCTCCGACCAATCAGAGAGCGGGGGAGGCGGGTGTTGTAGGTCGGTGTCGGTGACGTCAGAGTTTTTGCTGAATTTGCTGGTTGTAGTTTGTCGGAGAATGCGATAGTAAAATAATCTGTTCTGGTTCAATCCAAATATCAAGAAACTGAAGCCGGAGAAAGAGGAATGTTTAGTAAATGTCACTGAAGCAAAGATGTTGTGGCTCTACTCCCCACGGGCTCCGTTAGTGGCAAAGGAGATGGCTAAAGCTAGGCTAAATCATTCGTTTCACTGGTAAACTCAGATCCAATTTTATTAATCTGCAAAAGGAGTCAGCCCCTCCCACCTGTTAACTGAGGCCAATGAAGCAAATCCAGACCTTAGTATGAAATGAAATGAGTACAATGGTGTGGTAGGACCAGGCTAAAACAGCACCTAAGTGGTTGTCACAAGTTTACATTTAATTGAATTGTTTTTATGAATTCCTCAGTGTGTTGTATTTAGCTTTACAGAATTTACCGGGATTTTCTTGAAGTTCTAACAGAAAAATTAAAATGTTTACAGAGACTCGTTTAATTCTTCTTGGACAAAGACAAACACATTTCAAATTCTCCTTGGCTATAAATGTTGTAGTGTTTCACATGTTGGTTTTTTTGTGTCCCTATTGAATAAATCAACAAAACAGAGAATTTGAAGAGTTAATGAAAAAACAGATATCACAGGTACAGTATATGTTATTGGTAGTAAATAAATCTTGCTTTTCAAAATCTTAGTAAAAGGCAAATTGCAAGACTCTGATATTTAATTTATTATTTACAAATCCA